CAAAGGATCAGAGAGGAGGAGAAGAGGAGAAGGAGATTGGCACTCAGAGCGGCTCACAAACTCCTTTCCCTTCCCCTCCCCACGACAGACACCCTGTGAGGTTGGTGGGGCTAAGAGAGCTCAAGAGCTGCCCTTTCAAGGACAGCTCTCATCAGAACTAGGGCTTGCCCATCAGGGGTCATTTCCTGCAGGAGCGCACAGGAGCAGATCTCCGGCAGTAAGGCGCCCAGGGGGTGGGCACATGCAACAAACTCCACCCCCTGCTCCCAGCAGCCCTCAGTCAGAGCAAGAAGCAGCCAGGTGAGTTGCAGATCCCCCGCCCGATCCCCTGGTCCAAGACAGTCCAGTGGCACCTTTAAGACCAAGTTTTATTCAAGTACAAGCTCTCCCTCCTCTATGAGGACAGATCTGCATTCTCCCCCCCCCCCAATAGCTAGCAATCCAAAACAGTCCAGTGGAGCCTGAACAGTGGGTGTTGCCTTCTGACACACTTCCGGTGATATCAGGGAGTTTAGCATATGCAAATGAGTTATGCTAATGAGCTCCTGCACCTCTTTTTCTACTAAATGACCCCTGCCCAAGGTCATCCAGCAACTGCAAGTGGCGGAGTGGGGAATCAAACCCGGTTCTCCCAGATTAGAGTCCGCGCACTTAACCACGACACCAAACTGGAGAAAGACCCCTCAGGCCTGAGACCCGCAGAGAGCAGCTTCCAGTCAGTGCGGGCAATACCGACCTGGATGGAACAACGGCGTGGCTTCATTCATTCATTCATGGCCCTCACTTGGTGGGCGCCAGAAAAGGAGTCAGTGGACACCATGTCGCCCATGGGGACCCCTTTGAGGACCCCTCTGCTACAGCATGGCTCACTCTCTCGAGCCGCCTCTTCTGCCCTCGGGACTCCACTTCCGGGAAGCAAGTTATCGCGCTTATCTGGTTATCTTCCAGAAGCGCAAACCTACATAGAGGATCCTGGCTGACACACGTTTGCGATACGATCTGAGCCTCCGGGAGACCGCCGAGGAGCCACTCTGGAGTTCTGTTTGGGTTTCCAAGCCGGAGGGCAAAACAAGGCTTCTTATCTCCCCCAGATTGATTTTGGAGACCCACCAAGAAAATCCACCCAGAGGCTCGAGGCAAGCGGGCTTCCAGTTGGAGATCTTTCGGGAGGATCGTGTTCCGGGCGCGGTTAGTCAAGTGACACAAAGAAAAATGGGAAGTTAGGCTGGGAAAGCACAGTCAGGGTGGAACGCTGCAGAGTCTTATCAGTTAGGAGTGTGGGACGTACGCATAACTCTCGCCTGAGCAACGCGATTCCCCGTACATTAACGCCAACGACAATCTCTCCGGCCTCTCCCACCTGCCACGTGGCATCACCTCCATCATCCTTATCCCTGACTCCTAGGGTCGCCACGTTCCGGGCGGCACCTGGAGGTTTCGCACTATTACGATTGGTCTCCAGATGGTCAGGATCAGTTGCCCGGGAAGAAATGGCTGCTTTGGAAGTTGGCGTCATGAGCACCGACGACGGTGCTGAGTCCCCACCTGTTGGCATCGCAGCCAGAGGCGCCGGCATTGCCAGAACCAGAAGCCGGGCCCTCTGACTCCTCACAAGTCGAGAGCTTGCCAGCAGGCGAGGAAGCACAGGTGCAACCGGGGAGCCCGCCTGACTCACCTCCACGGGTGATTCGGCTAAGGGAGCAGCTCCGCACAGACTTAGCCAGGGCTATTTTTGGGCAGGAACGTACAGGAACAGAGTTCCGGCTGGCTCCCAAGTTGGCCACGCCCAGCAGGAACTCATTAGCATAATAGGCCACACCCAACAGCAGAAACTCATTAGGACTGGCTACATTGGGGGGGTGTGGCCTAACATGCAAAGGAGTTCCTTCTACAAAAAAGGCCCTGGGTTTAGACAACAAACAAGTTCAACAGAATAAGAAGCAAAAGGTGGGTGTGGCTGGATAACCACACTTCTGGTAACGTGGGGGTGCAGCCTAATGTGCTAATGAGCTGTGCTGGTAGGGGTGTGGCCCATTATGCTAATGAGTTCCTGTTGTTGGGTGTGGCCTGTTATGCTAATGAGTTCCTGCTGGGCTTTTTCTACAAAAAGAGCCCTGACACTTAGCCACCCACCGTTGAGATGCACGCTGGCAGGGAAGGCGAGCGCCGAGTCCTGAGAATTGGCAGGAGCGCTTCCGCTGGTGTCATGGGAACCCCGGCCGGAGGCATCTATAACCCCCACTCAGCATTGGGCTCTCGTGGAAGCAACAAGTCGCCTGCGTGCAGGCCTCGCATCCACCTTCATTTCCCATCCTCAGACCCCCCACTCTGGCTCGGACGCCCGGCTTCCTGACCCCTGCTTCGGACGACTCCTCTTTCGGACTCACAATTCGGCTCTCGTTCGGACTCCCCCGGCAACGACCTTGGACCGGACTTGACTTCTTCCTCCCAGCCCAAGTCCAGCTCGTGACAGGTGGGCTGTGTGGTATTAGATCCTGCTGAGGTCTCTCACCTCCCCAAACCCCACCCTTCCTAGGCTATGCCCCCAAAATCCCCAGGTATTTTTCAACCCAGAGCTGGGAACCCCGTTGATTCCTCATCCAATCCACAATCTCCTTCTTCTATGCAGCGAGGAGGAAGAGGAAGAAGAGGAGGAGGAGGAGATTGGATTTATACCCTACTCTTCCCTCGGAGTCTCAGAGCGGCTTACAAACTCCTCTCCCTTCCCCTCCCCACAACAGACACCCTGTGAGGCAGGTGGACCTGGGAGAGCTCTTATGAGGACTGCCCTTGAGAGAACAGCTCTAAGAAAACCTGTGACTGACCCAAGGTCCCACCAGCAGCTGCATGTGGAGGAGGAGGGGGGAATCAAACCCAGTTCTCCCAGATTAGAGTCCGCACTCTTAACCACGACACCGAACTGGCTAGCCATAGAGACGTGGGCAGGAGATGCAAGCGGATACCTTCCAGGAATGCAAGGGATATTTCATTTACCTGAATGCATTTACACCCGGCCTGCCTTCATGCCAGACATCAAACCCCGTGAACAAAACTGGATGGAACCGTGACAGCGTCACTAATGCCAGGAATAGCTTGGGAAAAGCAAAACGGCTTCTACTCGCTGCTCGACAGGCTGGAAAAGCGGAACCAGTTCACAAAGCAAAAGGCATGCTATTCGCACTTACAGATCCGCAAGTACAAGCGAGGCCAGAACTGATAAGATGCGATTAACTGGGGGGGGGGCTGTACACCATTGTATCCCACCCCTCTTCGACGGAGCTCAGAGTGGCAAACACGGCTCGCCCTTGCACCGTTTTATCTTTGCAACGTCCCAGTGATTTAGGACACCTGAAAAAGAGTAACCGGCCGAAGAGCATCAGGTCTCAGCAGGGATTTGAACTAGAGTGGCCAGGTACCACCACCCCCGTCCCCGGGGGGAGCGGGATGGAGGAGTAGGGTTGCCAGATACAGGTTGGGAAAGTCCCGGAGATTTGGGGGTGGAGCCTGAGGAAGGCAGGGACCTAAAGACATCCGGCTGTCCTCATCCAGGAGCAGGGCCTTTTCAGTACTGGCCCCAACCTGCTGGAACTCTGCCAAACACCATCTGGGCCCTGCAGGATGTTCCGCAATTCTGCAGAGCCTGTAAGGCGGAGATGTTCCGCCAGGCTTTTGGTTGAGGGCAGCGACGGTCTTGTTCTGTCTTTTGGAGTCTCATTCCACAAAACGGAAAGAAATGGGGGGAAAGTACATTTTTGTACATCTCTAATCCTTCGATTAGATTAGATTAGATTAGATTAGATTAGATTAGATTAGATTAGATTAGATTAGATTAGATTAGATTAGATTAGATTAGATTAGATTAGATTAGATTAGATTAGATTAGATTAGATTAGATTAGATTAGATTAGATTAGATTAGATTAGATTAGATTAGATTAGATTAGATTAGATTAGATTAGATTAGATTAGATTAGATTAGATTAGATTAGATTAGATTAGATTAGATTAGAAAGGTACCACTTCGGTGGGAAGGTAACAGTGTTCCGTGCGCCTCGGTGTCTAGTCATGCCGGCCGCATGACCACGGAAATGTCTTCGGACAGCGCTGGCTCTTCGGCTTTGAAACGGAGATGAGCACCACAACCCTAGAGTCGGACTCGACTGGCTTTCGAACAAGGGAACCTTTACCTTTACCTAATCCTTAGTTAGAAAAAGAGGAGGAGGAGGAGATTGGATTTATACCCCACTCTTCACTACCCGAAGGAGTCTCAGAGGGGCTTACAAACTCCTTCCCCTTCCCCTCCCCACAACAGACACCCTGTGAGGCAGGTGGGGCTGAGAGAGCGCCAGCAGCTGCATGTGGAGGAGTGGGGAAATCAAACCCCGTTCTTCCATAGTAGAGCCCGTGCTCTTACCCAATACACCAAACTGGGAGAAAACTGTGATTTTCGCCTCTTGATTTTTAAAATTAATGTATTAATACTAATACTATGTGTATTTATTTTATAGTTTTAATGTTTTTACTATGTTGTATATCACTCAGAAAGGCTGCGGTGGCTCAGTGGTTAAGACGCTGAACTGCAGACCAGAAGGCCGGTAGTTCGGCAGTTTGAGACCCGAGTGCCTCGAGACAGAGTGAGCTCCCATCTCTGGTCCCAGCTCCTGCCAAACCTAGCAGTTCGAAAGCAAGGAATTGCAAGTAGATAAAGAGGTACCGCTTCGGTGGGAAGGTAACAGCGTTCCGTGCGCCTCGGCGTTTAGTCATGCCGGCCACATGACCACGGAAACGTCTTCGGACAGCGCTGGCTCTTCGGCTTGGAAACGGAGATGAGCACCACATCCCAAGAGTCGGATTTGACTGGCTTTCGAGCAAGGGAAACCTTTACTTTTACTTTTGTATCACCCAGAGCCCTAAAGAGTAGGGATTGGGTGATTTATAAATGTAATATAATAATAAATCAATATGCCATAGAGTCCACCCTGCAAGGCATCCATTTTCTCCAGGGGAACTTATCTCTGTCATGTGGAGACCAGCTGTAATTCCAGGGGAACTCCAGATCCCACCCACAGACTGGCCTCCCGAATTCAAACCCAGGTCCCTCCCCAACCCCTCGGGAAGCCAGCTTCCCCAGACGAAATACTGTACTCCCAAACAGCTGCAGTGCACACATTTCCCTTTCTGCCTGTAACAATGGCATGCTTACCCAGTTAGCCAATCCGTGCAGGAAGCTGGAGGTCAATCGACCCATCTCTGCCAAACAGCTGGATCCAGGGAATCCAAAGACTCCGCCCCCTCCCCTCTGCTACAGACACACATCTGGATCTGGGCCACTCCAGCGCTAAATAATCTGTAACGTGACTAATCGTCTTTCAACAGCTGCTTCCCCTTAGTTACTCCAACGTTTTCTTAGACATTTGAGGGTCCCGGTTTTGTTGGGGGTAGGCGGAGAGGCGAAATGCTCCGCCGTCCTGTGGCAGTGGAATTTTGCATTCCTCTGCATTCATCCAAATGTACCTGTTTTATCTGCCAACCTACTACTTACACGGAACAACCCCTTTAGGGGCAAAAGAGATTATTTTATCGGCTACTTGACGGAGTTACACTTAACCTTCCGTTGTATACTTTCGGAAAGCCAGTTTGGCGTAGTGGTTAAGTGCGCAGACTCTAATCTGGGAGAACCGGGTTTGATTCCCCACTCCTCCACTTGCAGCTACTGGTTGACCTTGGGCAAGCCGTAGTTCTCTTAGAGCTGTTCTCTCAGAGCTCTCTCTCAGCCCCACCTACCTCACAGGGTGTCTGTTGTGGGGAAGGGAAGGGAAAGGAGTTTGTAAGCGGCTCTGAGACTCCAAATGAAGGGCGGGGTATGAATCCAATCTCTTCCTTTTCCGAAATAGTCCTTTATTGGGCAGACTTCAGATATGCTTCAGATAGATAGATAGACAGATAGGATAGATTAGATAGGATAGATTAGATAGGATAGATTAGATAGATGATAGATAGATGATAGATAGATGATAGATAGATAGATAGATAGATAGATAGATAGATAGATAGATAGATAGAGATAGATGATAGATAGATAGATAGATAGATAGATAGATAGATAGATAGATAGATAGATAGATAGATAGATAGATAGATAGATAGATAGATAGATAGAGATAG